CCCAACTCCCGCCCCCCACCACATGCCAAACCTGCCCACCCGATCCCTCGTCCCCAACGCCGCACGCGCATTCCGCACAACCCACGGTGCATACTCCCTGCAGCTCTGCGCATGCAACATAGCGTGCGCAGGCGTCGCCGCGTGCGTCTTCCCCGGCACGCGCGGCTCCAGCGGCAACGACGCACAGAACAGCGTCAGGTGGTGAAAAAAGATGCCCTTGAAGGTCTGGGAGTCCTGGGAGCAGGTGGCCGCCGGGTCGCAGAGCTCAGTCAGGATGCCCTTGACGCCCAGGCCGGCCCAGGCGTTTGCCTCCACAACTTCCGGCTCGGACTCGGGTCGAGCTTGGGCTTGGGCTTGCTGGGAGGGGGAGGAGCCGGCGAACGTGACAACGCGCATGGCCCAGCCGGCGCGCCAGCCAGTCGCGCGAATGACGCTGCGAATGAGCGCGTGGCCGTCCTCGAGGTATGCGACGTCGCCGGTGCCCTCCCACAGGCCGCGCAGGCCGGACAGCAGCACGCCCTGGTTGTAGGTGTAGACCATCTCGTTGCGCTCGTCGCACTTGCCCGTCCCGATGCTGCCGTTCTTGCCCCAGTCGCGGATGTGGTACCCGTCCACGTACAGGCCCTGCGCGTTCGTCATGTTCGACTGCTTCAGCCACGCGTACCCGTTCACGGCTGCGGCGAGGTAGACCGGGTCGTGCGGGACGGTGGGCCCGTATGGCGGGGTGCAGCAGCCGCGCCCCTCAGTAGTAGCGGAGTCGCGCGTGCAGTCGGCGCTGGTGGGGCTGTTGGTGAGGTAGGGGGAGCAGTTGGAGTCGCCGGGGAAGTAGAGGTACATGCCGGCGCTGGCGGCGATGAACAGCTCGTTCGTCACCGCGTTCTTGTACGGCTGCGTGTGCGGGCTCCACGTCATGCCGCCGCCGCACAGCTTCCAGTCCCACCCTTTCTGCGCCAGGTCGTAGAAGACGCGCGCGCGATGCGCGAACGCCGATTCAAATTGCTTGCCGTACCATTGCGACCCGCCGGTTGAGTGGCTCGTGGGCGGGTAGTGCAGGCCGTCGTGCTCCTGGATAAACCTGATACTCTCGAGCCACCCGAGCACGACCCACAGCATGTCATCGTACGCCTGCGTGCGGATTGCGAAGTGGTCTTCCCCGAAGAAATATGTGATTATTTGCGAGAAGTACTTATTGATCTCGTTCTCAATGCGCTGTCCCTCCAGCTCCAGCTCACTGCTCTTTTTCTGCATATCTGGCGTGTCCTTCGCAAGCGTGCCGGGCATTATGTAGGAGAGCGATCGGGTGAGAGTGTAAAGGGCGGCAGAAACGTGTGTGCTCATTACTGCAGCGGTCCAATCGATGGCGGCAGGCCATTTCCCCAGCCATATTTCAAAGTAATCGCTTTGCATCGTCTCCAGCGCATGGTGCAATTCCTCGAGGGAATTGAGGGGAGGGTCGAATGGGTGGGGCTGCTCGCCGGACTGAGGTGTCGTTGGGTTAAAAGGGTTCTGTGTATCCGGTTGGAAATCTCCAGGAGCACGCAGCGGGGTTCCGGCGTGTTGTTGTAGCAGCTGGCGATAGTTAGCGCGTGACAGGTCCTACATGTTCACACAAGGAGATTCTAACACTACTGTCTACATGACTAGCCTCAGCTACTAGAAGGAAGAAAGCGCAAAGGGCAAAAAGCAAGCGCCAGGCTGGAACTCGCGATGGCGGTATACGTAAGATCATGATTTTGGTGGAGTCCGGTGTGAGATAGGCAGAGGGAGAAGGAGTGGGTACACAAAAAGCTAGCCGCTCCACACGAGAGCGGACGGAGAGTGCTATATGGGAAGCATTGGGGAATTAGAGCGGTCAGACAGCTGGTGGTGTAGCTTCAGACCAATTGAAATTAGGATTGGGGTTTTGAGTGTATCGAGGCTTGAGAGGAGGCTGAACCCTGGCACTGGCACTTCCCAGCTTGAGGGTCTTTGCTCACGTGGTTTAGTCATGCAACCACTCACCCGCTTAGTGCACTAGCCTACTCCTTACCCCCGCATTCCACCAATGTCTACCTAGCTCTCCTAGCCCCAACATCTATGCCGGAAAAGCAAGGGGCAAAAAGAAAGGCTGAAAAGACAAAAAGAAAGTATTCCATGTTGTCATGTTGACAAGAGTGGGATTCGAACCCACGCATCTTTCGATACTAGCAGTTTCCTCAGGATAATCCTGAAGCTAGCGCCATAGACCGCTCGGCCATCTTGCCATGGAATAGGAGTTGGAAATTTTTAGCTGACTATATTGTTTATCTTTGGCGACGAGTGAAAACGCTTTTCCAACTTGAGCCGCAGTTTGTCCGTGGAGCCGCAACACTAAAAGATTGACAAAGTGACGAGCGAACTAAGGCTATATGCAGGTTGAATAATTCGACAAACATCTAATACATCAAAGACAAAGATACATTATAGGACATTTCTATTATCGCATAGCATGAGTTTTCCAAGGGCATGGTAGACAAAGCTATGCGTCAAAACGCTATCTAACCTTGCCATCTCCCTCACTGTGGTTAGTTTGGGAAGCCATTTATTGTATTCCGCATCCTAAGCGTCATAAGTTGGACACTTAAAGCTGAGGTTATAGTAGTCGTAGTTCTCTGTAGCATTCGATGTGCGGAGTAAGCTCCAAATGATACCACCCTAGAATATTTCCATTCAAGGAGACTGCAACATAACCCTGCCATTCTAAATAAGAAGATTACCCTGCAAGATTTAGCGATGTCCCTAAATCAATCCAATTAGGTGCTGTGAGAGGCTTTCAATAAACGTCTCCTTATCCTGTGTGCTAAACCGCGCGGTCAGTACACCAAGCTTCAGGCGAAGATAGATCTGGAAGAGTTTAGAAGCCAGGAACAGCATCTTCATACATCCTATGAATATGAGGGGCCAAGAGGTTTTCACTGCATCAGAGTATACGCCTAAAGACTAGTTAGGGGCATCCAGCTAAGACGTCTGAGGAAGTACTTACAAAATATCGGCAAAAAGGCCAACCTGTCTTGATCGCAAAACAGATTGGTAAGCTTAATTTTCCTATGACTCCATACGCCTTACTGGGGCGGGAAAATGCTGGGATATCTTAGGCCTCATTTTAACATCATATCCATTATGTCTTCCAACCGATCTCAGCTCGCGGCAGGCAGTCCTCTAGAGCCATAGTAGAACTCAATCATCTCTATCATCTCTTGCTTCCCCAGGGCTCCTACTTCGCGCTCGCCCGGCGCCTCTAGCAGCACCACCCCCTCGTCCGCCTCTTGCCTGCTGTCCTTTTCCAGGTGGCGGTCGCACAAATGCAAAGTCAACAGCAATCGTCTGGTCCAAAAGCTTCTGGCCATTCGCACCTTCGATCGCAGCTTTTGCTTCCGCAAGGGTCGGGTACTCGATCAAAACATATCCCTAAATCCCAAATTCGTATTAGCTCTACCCCACTACTTTGCAAGACAATCTCCGGACGAAGCGCAGTTACACAATACTAACACATGAGCGCATCAGCAGGGACAGAAGAAAGAGAAGAGTACCTTCACATAGCCAGTCCTTCGATCCAAGTTCAGATGCAAATTCTTGATTTCGCCATAATCTCCAAACATATCTGTAAGATCCTCCTCGCTAGCCTCCTCGTGCACGTTTGTGACCATGATAATCCAACCCTCAATAGATCGCACGGCGACAGCGCCAGCTTGCGTGCGCGCTTCGCTAGCTTTGGGCTCAGAGAAAGCTGCCTGAGGTTGATCGACGTCCATTTCGGTGTCGGCCATGTTGGGCGAGGTTGTGGGAAAGTTTAATCCAGACTGTAAGGCAAACTCGAAGGCAAAGGGCTCTAGGGAGGTAGAGAACGAAGGTTGGTTGGCGGGGAAGGTCTCAATGCTACGAGCTGTGTGAAGGTCTGAATGTCGAGGATCACCAACAAGACTTCAAGCTCTCCGCCTTCCAGCACGGGCCAACACTCAATTACAAGACCCCAGCACCCCAGGCAGCCGCATTCCCTAATCTCACATACTTTCTACCACCAACGGCACTTGACTAAAGGGAAATCTCCTTCATAAGTCTTACAAGAATCCAATAATAGTAAGTTTTACTTACAGAAGCTTGGGGAAATGTCCATCCCGCTATTACGATGATTCGAGCTCGAACCTTCATGCAGTAATCAAGTTCTACTAGAAATGGCATTTGGTGCAAAGATTTTCCTTTGTGTTCCTGAAAGACTGCCGGGAACCTCCTCAACGAGCGTATTTTTTCGGTGTACGTATGTTGCCCCTCCGGTACGAAACGGGAATCCTTATCCTTAACGAAAATATCATGTTCGAGTCGGATGACCGTTCACCCTCACGAATAGAGCAACTCCTATCTTAAGACACAAATTCGGAACGCGTAGGAGCAATTACGCTTGCCGTTGTCTCCACTAACACGCCGGTCCATCGTACTGCTTTTGAGCACCTGATCCCATTTTCCAGTCGGATCCTTCTAAAACTGTCCTTTCTGACCACTTTCTTTTTAGCTATAAAAGGTGAATACAGGAGGATATGGGGACTATAATCCCAAAGCCCTCGCTTGACTTCTCTGTGCGCTTCCTAAGACGGTTATCAACCTTGAGCTGGACACTTCAGGCCTTGACTTAATGAGAACCGCACCACTCAAGAATACTATTTAGGACGGGATGTCTCCCGCACGCTTGTCAAGATTTTCCGTACCAAGGCCCAAATCGACTAAATCAGACTCAATAACGCTATCTGTGCCGCAGTTGGTGCCATCATACAACGCTTACACCATCCGCGTTTGAGAATATCCATTATGCCCTGAGTTCCTCTCTCAAAATTTCCAATATACACACTAAAACAACACTAACTACGATTATAGCAGATCTTAAGCTCGCTCACCATTACTATCAGCCACAGATTAGATCCGTGTAGCGACCAGCTGCCAACTCAGCGTTGTAGAGCAGAAACCATGCGCCCAACACGGCAGGACGATAATTTTAAAACCGGAGCAGAACTAAACTCTAACCTTCGAAGACTATACAAAACTAGGGTGCTTCCTAACCTCCATCTATCAAAGAGCGTACAACTCGAACCCAGTAACCTTAACGAAGATCTTATCATCCGCGAGTTTATAGAAGCCTACAATCTCGTCACAGGATCTGAAAGTCGATACCCTGAATTCCTTTCCACGACTTACTTTATGACTCACGACATCATACAGCACTCGGCAACAAGCCTACCATTCCTACATACCAAGCACCTATTTGCCAATCTACGGGAAGATAGCAGTGCTACCCAAAAGGTGCCACTCGGGTTCTGAGGCTTTGCCAGACCAGCTGCCCTCCCAGACCGAACGGCTTAATGGCTTTGAACTTGCAATGATAGTGCGACAGCATGGCTACGGGGAACCCCCATCAATTGCACGCTCCCGATTGTTACGTCCAACAGATTTCGACTTCCCTTAGTCCATTATTTCAAGATCTGGGCCATAGCAGAGTATTTCAAGATATCTCCGCGTCTATGATTTAGCGGTGGTTCGGAACACTAAACGAATCCCGCCTAGTGCATGTGCTAGTGAGCCTTGGCATTGCGGTGTCCTAAAACAGGAGTACGGCGCTTCCTTACGTTTAGGAGCATTTATATCACGCAAGCTTCCAATAATACTTTTAGCCCTATTCCACTATTCCCACCCTCTCCTTTCAAATATTGTCCAGTTTAGTACCACCTATATATTCAATTTCTCGTCATCGATGTTAGCTTTACAAGGCTGAGATCCATTCTTTTCTACATATCGTCATACTTTATCCCGTAGCAAAATATTCAAGCCGTATTCAACAAATTCCATTCCCTTAGTCTATTCGCAAAACTACTTTTACCATGTCCATAACCTTCCCGCCCCACCCCAAGGGCTTTAAACTCTCTCGAAGTTTAACCCAACGAAGTGACCCGCAAGATCTGCTTTCTGATATCGAATTCACCCCAGACAAAGACTCCGATGAGCTTTTCGAATGTCTCAAACGGTCTTTTCCTACTGGCAAGACTCACATGGAGAGGATGAAAATGGCGCGAATGGAATTCATTGTTTCTGAGCAAGAGGAAAAGAGCCCGCGGCCATTGAAGGCTCAACCCCCAAAGCGCGCTTTGGCGGCTTCATCTGCGCCCTCCGACAGTGACACAAAGCCTAGGAAATCATTACAGGCGATTGAAAATACACATCAACCTCGCCGCCCGCAATCAGTTCTACGCCAAGAGGCGCCCCCAAACGCCACAAACGCCACAAACCCAATAGACGCTATTGCCCCAAAACCAGATCAGCCTGCAAACGCCACATACCTACCTGAAAAGCTCGCTAGCACTGCCATGTCTTTAAATGAAATGACCAGTGTGTGGAGAGCCTCTGACGGAGCATGGCTACACTCACGGCGAAAGAAGCCTATGACTATACAGCAACGAATTGAATACAATATTACGAGAGTTAAGGGTGCATGTGTCATTTGTAAAAAGAAGAAACGCAAGGTATGCTTCTCCGTTTTCCCTTCGAGTAAAGCACTAACAAAGTTAAGTGTAAACATAGACTACCACAAGGTAACGGTCTACCGGATAGCCAGCCGCTGGAGGAATGGTAGGTTTAGTTTATTCAGGCATAGCTGCAATGCCCCATACTAAACTATATTTCACAGTTTGGAAGACACACATGTAGAAATGAGCAATGTGCAACACGACCGCTCCGTGAACATAGCAGGGCACGATCAGCAGCTGGAGCCAACGATGCGGAACGGACTTATTCCTTCGTTCCGTGGTTCACAGAAAGGTGGACCACCAGAAACATTGACAGGCTTGCTAGACCCAAAAGAATCCCAAAACCCGCAACTTGGAAGTGTAGACAGTGGCTCTTTGCCGTGGAGTGGTCTTTATCAACATGCACAAGGGCATTACAAGCTGAATGCTCTCAGCTCCGCAGAACAAAACTCTTACATAACCAACCCTCAGCACACGCTCCATGAAAAGGAAGACGCTACATTTTATGACAAGCATTCAGGAAGATTGTCGAATGAGATTACGTTTGATGAATTTTATCCGGAGGTCCTGGAATCGCAGCCGCTAAATAACACCCAATCACCCCTTTCTACTCTCATAGAACATGACAGACGTAAACTAGACACTCCTACCCTTCAGACCACCACTACGGAGCCTTGGGCCAATACAAGATCCACCATAGACCCATCGTTATTGGATAC